TTTATAATCCACAAAGAAGTTAAATTTTAATAAAACTCAATTTGTATAAACATTAACGAGAGCGACAAAATCCAACAATAAGCATTATCTTCCTACTATAATAATATTATATGGTTATTTCGTATAAAATAGCTCAAATTTCTTTAGTGAAAACATTTAGTATTATTTTGTAAAATTATATTGCATATTCTGCATACTATTTTATTACATATTTCGGTAAATTTTTTATAATGTTTATAATTTTAAAGATAAGTACGATTTTAAATAATCTCTACCTTAAATAATTCATAGCATAACCAAAGACATTAAAATTCAATTATAAATTATGTAAAGTAGACATAAACAGTATAAAAAATAGAGATATAAGGCGATAAATTTAATACTCGTAAGGGTTTCATCTTCTCTATTTATGTAACGTAGCGACAACTTACAATTGCACAAACTCGAAGCAAGGCTGTACCAATCGAGTATAAAAATCAATAAATTTGTTCGTGTACGAGCGCATTTCTCGGAATTGCATGAGGTACCATGACGACACGATACAAATAGGATAAAAAATCAACATTGAAAACGCGATGTATTATAAAACTAAATTTTCTTTATTATAAGTGTGCTACGTGTGTATAGGTAACAAATTCCATACAGCTAAACGATTTACGAATCCTCGTGTACGCGTACATGCCAACGAGAATGTTCACGTATTTATGTGGAAAATTACGTGGAAACTCAGCTTAAAATTTACCCGCATAGTCATGTTCATTTATAAATTATTATAAAAACGTACGAATTTACGGGCATCCTAACGTTTATGCTTTAAAATTATATAATGCAATATGAAAAATTGAAATTGAATTTGATATTATACCTAATTAGTAAAATTAGGAACATTACAATAGTTTAATAATTTACACGATGTAAATGTAAATATTGCATTATTATTTACAGAAGTATAAGATTGCATTTCTTCATAAACGTTCGAAATGCATGAGTATGAATAATTTGAATATTTTTCCTGATCACCTCTATAAAATCCAGTTATTATAAAATTAACATTCATATTAGTTTGAATAAATTCTATTGGATTTAATTAAAAATATATACATAATCTTCTCTTTTTTTATTTTACCAACGTACAATGTACGTAATACATGAACTACAAGAATGACAAAATTTTCAATTAATTCAATCTCAGTCCACAATCGTTTAATTACAAAAAAAAAAAGATATATATATATGAATTTATTTTTCATGCTAATTGTATGATAAGAAACATATATTTTTTTTACACTATATGTCGGTGATATTTCTTTTCTTATTTTGTTTAATTTTGAAAATGAGAATACGTCCGAAGGAACGTGCTTTGCATAAATGAACCACAGTACTTCTTACCCTTATTTCATACACACTGATGAATAAATACTTATCACCATACAAATACCACTATAAAGTTATAGAACTCGTGATAATTAGAATTTAATAGGGAATAACTTTCAACTTTTTTTTTCAATATTAATTACCCAATCTTATATAATGTACGAGAATAACAAAGATTGGATAATATTTATAATTCAGAGATAAGACGAACGTGAATTCATATAATTTACATTAATTTTTTGCAATAAATCTGAAGTTACATATTGCATTAAGATAAAGAAAATATTTTAATTATATTAAATTATTTATATATCTGTGTTGTTACAAATTTTGATTTGTCACATTAAATTATTAGGTTCATTTAATATTCAAACAAATAATCCTTCCACGAGCTTATATTTAACGTACTCTTTGAATGCCATTTTTTCATTTTATTTTAACAATTGTGTATAAAAATTAGCCTAAAATGCAGACGAATGAATAATGTGCAATAATGCAAATTGATGAAAAAAAAAAAAAAAAAAAAAAAAAAAAAAAATTTAGTACTAAAGTGATTCTTGGAATAAAGTCATTTATTTACACGCACATATAGATAAAATTAGATGTCATTAGATAAAATTAGCGATTGCCAATATTTAGCATGTAAGCTTATAATAATAAAAAACTATATAATAATATAATCGAGCAATCTTTTTATATATTAATATCAGTTATTTTGTAATCGCTTATCTGCATCTGTTTAATGATGATCTCATGTGCACAACCAACAAATACTTCCATTGCAAACGAAATTAAAAGGGACAATTTAAGATTTTCTATAAACGCGCGCACTTGTATTTATCATCCAGGAATATTATTATAACAATATAATGGCGTTGGACGTCCTATAAAATTGGTCGTTAGTATGTTTATATTGTATTTCTTCATGATTCTCGTGTCATGTTGGAATGAAACGCGCAACATGTTTAACTACGTTTCATTATTATGTCATAAAAATTATTGTGATCGCGGTGTAAGAAGTATTTTAAGTGGGCGTTGAAGAACACGATAGCATGTTTATATTTGCAATATCGTAGTTCCACTTCTAAGTGCTAATTGTGTAGGTTTATCTACAGTTGTTTCAAATTCTCCAAGGATAAGTTCATTATAATTAGACTAAACTAATTGCCTTAGGTGCGTATCTATTTCGGTAATAATCGTAATTATGAACTATAAATAACAGTATTTTTACTTGACCTAAATTTCATTTAAATTTTAAAATAATAATTCTAATAGTAGCTGTAATTATTTTGTCTAATACAATCGTAGATATTATATATAGATTTATTGGCCTTTATTGTAACAATCTTTTCACATTTCATATTTATAATCCACGAGTGGTTTAAGCGATCATTGATAGTTGTGAATTTATCCTTATTTTTAATCATTGGATTAAATTAATTCAGATATTAGTTTATCAATAGAGCTTACGTTGGTTATAAAAACATCTCAAAATGGAATTACGAAGTTATTCGTTCGATTACAAGATATTTTACTTTTATTTCTACAAAAGAATAAAAAAAAAAAAAAAATAAAAAAAACAAGAAAACAAACAAAAACAAAAGAAAATATTAAAAGCATTCAAACTATTATCTTAAATAATTTCAATAATAAAATTAATTGCACAAGAGTGACTAAAAGAAGAAGAAGAAGAAGAAGAAGAAGAAAACATCTATTTGCACAGAAAGCGTGAGCATTATGAAATTTATTCGTATGTGCTGAGTGATGAATAGGTAAGTACGGCTTATATATTAAACTAATGCCAAAGTGTTTTCAAAAGTTTGTTAGTGTGTGTGCATTGAAGAGGGAATGAAGGAACGTAGTATGATCAACGTAGTAATCAGTCTAATGCAAGTGAATATCTACATAAATCAGTAACTTCCACTACCCTTAGTTCTCTTCGATAATGTTAGCTTTCTACTTTGCAAACTTTTCAATGTGATAAGAAGCTGTAGAAATGTTTAATATACTATGGATGTATTCGCGTCATTATTGTGAATATGATTTTACCGTATTTATTCGCTGGATTATCGTTATTTTAAGAGAAATTTATTGATTTTACGTAATGTATTAATAGAAAGTCACCTAATTACTTCAACTCCAAGTTTTCTTATTGAATTTATTAGAATTTAACCGAAATTAATGGAATAATTTTTTTGTAAAATAACTTTAACAAGCTTTCATCTTAAAAAAATTAACCTAAAATTTATTTTCACTAACAGGTTAATTTGTCTTGAAAATTTGTCGTTAAAAGGTGTATATATATATATATATATATATATATACTTGTAAAGATTTGTTTATGGAGGTTTGCTGCTAATTTTAAGCGAGATTGAAGCAGTAAATTTGTGGTAAGAGCTTTTATGAATATTGAAGAAGCTTCTGATTATACTTTCATAGATCTTATAAGAGCAGCATTGGTTGATCTCGTTATAAGCTATTACTAAGTCAATAGTGAGATATTGAAAAATAAATTAATCGGAATTGTGGGGAGCATGGAGCTGGTTTACATATAAATTGACCCCAATGTTTCCACGTTCATTTTTATTGAGAAATTTTATTATCTGTGGATTTTACTGTATTACATTGAATATCGGCGATAGATATTTTCAAATACTGAATCGGACTTGTAGTGTTACTTATGGGATTACAAGATTATTAATTTTACTAATTATAAGAAAATCTTCATATATAAGCAATTATTTAATAAAGTTTTAAGTTTTCGTTAGTATATCAATGTTACGACTATTGAACATTAAGTAAGTCTGATTGTGAATAAATTTAAAAGAAATTTATTAGAAAATACTCTATAATAATTATAATAATTAATATTATTGCCTAAATAAGATACGTTAATGATATGAACAAAGATTTAAAATTCAAAACGAGATGGTTTTTATTTATTATATTTCCCATACTAAGCTAGTATATGCAATTTCCAATATGATGGATGAGAATGTAATTGCAAACAGTAGCAACTGGAAATTGGATTCATTAACACTAAGATCTGTAATATAGTAATAAGTTCAGTGAAAATTGGATGTTTATATTTATGAAAGTTGAATAGAAAGTTTCAGAAAATTTTGATTCATAAAAATTAATACGGAGTCAATTTGTTGTTGGTATTGTAATTAACTAACACATATATTTACACAATTACAGTGACATAGTATTTTTATGATACATTGATCAGTGTGTGTGTGTGCCTATAAAAATTTAACATGCAATGAATCTGAATTTTTCAAACTAAATTTGTTCTATTTTTAACTTTTCCATGACGATAAATTGGAAATTTTTATAAAAAATATCGAAACATATATAAACTATTAGCAAATATATTTATATAAGTGTCATATATTCTACTGACTAATTTCATTGATAATTCACACTACTTTATAGTAAGTATACTTATTAATGGAGAAAGTCAAACTAAATTTGGATTTTTATTTCAATCTTGCTAGAACATTATAACGTCAGATATTAAGGGGAAAGCGCTATTAAACGCTAAAAACAAATACAAATTTTTACAAAATATAAGCTATCACGAGTGTGAAAAATATGCTGTTATTAAAGAGGAAATGTCTAACCTTTGAGGTGCTCCGGTGTGTCGGTGGCTCCTGCTCTCATAATATCACTAAGGTAATGCTCCAGTGTTCGCATATTATCCAGAGGTGAATTCCCATTTGCAGTCATCCGCTCCTGTAAATAAAATATGAGGGTACTTTGGATTTTTAAGTTTGTTGACCAAGGAGAACCGTCGCATTAGGATGCTACAGATGCTGTTGCACAGAGATTTGAAATTAAGATTCGTAAATAAAATGTGACATACGTGATGAAGTAGTTTATTGAAAACAATTTCATTACGAGTTTGACATCCATTGATTTTCTATTACAGATATATAGTTTATAATATTTTTAATTGAAATTATGCAAAAAATTTTATTATCGACAGCTGTACCGTATAAATGTTCAATTTATCGAATAAAAAAGAAAAAAAAATGGAAAAAAAAAGAAAAAAAATAAGAATAGAGTGAAATTAACGTAAGGAGAAACAACTTTGTTATGTAAATTCGACATTAACAAGTATGGAGTACTATTTGTTAAAACGATGAAAGAGTAATGAACATTTATTAGAGCCAATTGGTTGACAATAATAATTACAACGAGATTTGTCAAAATTTTAAAATCAACAAAGTAATATGTACTCACTTATTGATATATAGCTATTTAAGTAATGTGATTTATAATTATTACTCATGATAAGTATTAATTTATCTAATTGCCTCTATCTCGTAACGTCTCTCAATAAAAACGTTAAGAATGCAAGGAATTATTTTTCATTTGAATGACTCACTTGAATATTCTCATACTTCGATTATTCGAAATAGTTCATAACTAACTTTATATATATGTGTGTGTGTGTGTGTGTGTGTGTGTGTGTGTGTGTGTGTGTCAATTTCGAATGAATCGATGTGAATTGAATGCAAAGATAAAAAAATCTAACTTTGAATTATATTATTATTGTTTAGGAGATTTGTAGTTTATGTAATTTATAATGATACTTTCTTTTCATAGATTTCCCTTTTCGTATATTTAATACGCTGAAATTTACTCGTGCCTGTATTATCATCATAATAATCATGTGATTAATTCGCACATAAACTGCTAAAGAAAATCATCATTGGAACTATAAGCCGAAAGAATTGTGTAAATAATTTTCTCTTCGTTATAACTAAACGTTAAAACTAATAATGTAATCGAATGTGTGAACGTGAATTTCGATATTGACGAAACGTTGAATAAATGAAGAATGAGCCAGAGTATTCATTCGTTAATAATTGAGAGGTTTAAATATAAACTTCGTCACTAGTGTAATGTCCGTACTAATGTGCGCAGGAGTTGAATCGCGAATGGGATATTTTGCGCAAAATAAGAAGCAGTTAAAAGTAACGGCCGTGACGCCAGAGACCTTGTCTTCCATCACTGAAGATGCAAAGTTCCCGAGTCATTGGACCCTACGCTTTACTGGCAAGTTCCGCGTAAAAGAGTAACTGTCCATCCCGAATGAAAAGACAGAGTTGAGGGGAACAGGTTGAATCGCGATGATGCTTTCACCGCTTGGACCGGGTCTCGTCATTGTTCTTAATCGAAATGAGCTCTCTTTCTTGGAAAGAAAAGGAAGCTTCTTAGAGATGCGTAATGCTACAACGGCGTGGCGAAAGAAAGAAAAACTTGAAAACTTCAGGCAGAATAGGTAGAAAAGAGCGGTGGAAAGGCGGGGGGGGGGGAGGTAGGAGCGGTGAAATTATTCACGAAGGATGAAATGCACTTGAGAAAGAAGGTTCATGGGAAAGGTGATTAACCCTTAATAGGGACCCGCTGAGGTTATTTTCTTTTTGCTGTGCTATTTTCTTCTATTGCGGAGCAAAAATGAGAAGCAAATATCATTAATCGCAATATATAAATCACATTGATATTTTTACCCACTTTATACTTTCATATTTTTTGTGCGTTTATAGAAAAAATTTCAAAAATCTGCAAACATTAGCATAAAAATTTTTCTTGTTAACTATAGTATGTGATACATCACATGATATTATACAAAATATATCTATTATAATAAATTGTTATTTCTTTATAAATAAATATTTATCGTGATATTTTCAATGTTTAATTTATTGAAATTGATAATTACTGTATTTTAGTTTTTACTATTTACAGGCTATTAAATATTTATTTTACAATTATAAATATAATAATGTAGTAATTAAATTGTAATAAAGATTATTATTATTATTATTATCATTATTATATTGCATATATAATCTGAGCAGTGAAGTATCATTAAAGGCAAAATTTTTAATTATTGCAAATTCCATCAAATGTGAGTGAGTGAGTGAGTTGTAAGTTTTAATTACAAAAACCAATGTACCTCATCTGATCTGCAATCTCTTAGGATTATCAACCAGCGTGAAGAAATCAATGCATCTGTCGCCTTAAAACTTCTCTATGTAAGGTTTTCCTTTGATGCGACGTGGAACAAAGACAAGTTATCAGACGTAAAAAAAAAGAAAAAACACAAGAGTAAGCAAGAGCTAGTTCAAGAAAGTTCGAAATAAAGACGAGTTACTTTCGCAATAAACCACTTGGATCATTAATCTAAAAAGAGATATACAAAAGACATTTCGCCTCCTCTTTATTCCCGATGTTCTGCAGACTATAAAAAGTTAGTTGTGGTTGCAGGTACATGTAGATGGTCGCGTTAATGAGGGATTTAGTTGAATTTCCTCTATTTGGAAATAAATATCAGTATTAACGAGAAGTAGCAGCAATAATTTAGTGATTTTTTTTTTTTTTATATTTATTTTATGACGTGATTAGTGCACACTTATTTTCTTTCTAAATTTCGTTTAACGATATCGATCTCATGCATCTTATTAAATATACACGAGAAGAAATATTCATATTCATCGGATAAAAGAAAAAGGAATTCTTATAATCTTATAATCTCATTACAAATAAAACAGTTTCATTAGTGTTTTATACAGTTTTAAAATGAAAAAATATACGAATCATATTTAAAATTAATGTCACGTGTAAAATGCGGCGAAGAAAAGATAAATATGTGATTGATTAAAGGTGAGATTAAATGAAGAATAAATTTTATATACAAATTACTAAACTAATTATTATGATTAATTTAAAATAAAGAATAATGATAGTATAAAATAAAAATTTACAGAAGTTTGTATGATAATATTTATTATAATAATTCATTCTAATTGAACAATCTTATTTAAAAATTATTAATTGTTAATATTGATGAATTTGTCCATAATTAATCAATGCTCTTTAATATTTCGGAATTTTATCAATTCAAGTTTGAACTGCTATTGCCCTTATTACAGAGACCAAAATAAAAATTAATTTAACGTCTTTATTACGCTCTTTGACGTCAACCAATTAAGAAACATAAGCCCTGTAATGAAAAATAACGACTATACGGGAAAAGCTAAAAACATTGCATTAATTTCAATAACATTGGCCGATTCATCAATATTTATTTACCATATAATTGCATTTGAATTAATTATTTCTTAAAATCTTTTTGCGAGGTAATTTCGTTGTTTTTTTTAACGTTCAAAAACTAGAAAAAATATTCTGAAAAAATCTTTGTAAAAATTTTAGAAAATTTTAGGAACCTTCTAAATTGTCCAATACTACTTCAGTCTTTCGATTTGTAATTTACATGATGATGATTTATACAATGATGTAATTGGAAAAAAAATTTGATTTAATATTTAAGCTAAACTTGCCATGTATAATACTTTTCATTAATTTTGCAAACTAATCTTATTAATATCGAATAAAATATTTCGTTAACTATATTTAAAATCGTATAAAAATTTAAAAATAAAACTTCAATAAGAAGAATTTGAAATGAAAGCGACATATAGAATAAAATATTTAATAGTATAATATAAATAGTACAATCTACAATTGCTAATTAATTATTTCTGATTTCAATACAACGTTTTATTTAATTATATGAATTAAATAGAAATTATTTTTTGAAAATTCATGATGTAATGTGTAAAAGAGAAATTCTTTACATTCGTTCCTTTACCTCGACTGAAAGGTAAGATATAATAAAATGAAAAATTCAATCGATAAGCCTATCAAAATCTAAAGATCGAACATGTAATACAAATGAAAAGTCATAGTAGAGCATTAATATTATATTGATAGAGTGGAATAGTTGAGAACAGGCGAGAACAGAATTAATTCATATGTTTTTCGTGTAAGTCTAGTAGTGAAAGTACGCGTATGATCAGACGCCAGAACTAACGATTAAAGATGATGAATCGATATTTGTTTAAGAATATTTGACAGAAAAAAAAACATGCACACATACGCTATATCTATTAATATCAATTTTTATATAATATATATTCATTCAATTATTATAAATAAAAATGTTTGGCAACTATTTAATATTAAAAGAAATTTTTAATTGCTATGACTGACTGGCTTACGAATGCTAATCTTTAAATAGAAAAAAATGTCTTTTAGAATATTATTTATAATTATATATCTTTTAATAATATTCTATCGATGAATATGTTTTACTAAATTAAAATTTTTTTATCAAGTTGTAACAATCGTTTAGTCGTTACGATTGAAAACTCAGATAATATAAAGTGTATGTAGTATTAAAAAAATAGCATATAAATAGCTATAGCTGATGCTAGAAAGGTTTATCAACAAATTTATTTATTAATTTTATTAATTCTAAGAATGCTTTAATAGTGTTGAATATCACGATTGAAAAATATTGAAAATTAAATGAACATTGTCTGTGGTAAAACCTATTGGTCCTGTTGTATTTATTAAAAATTTATTTTAAACTTTAAAAATTAACTGTCATTAAAATATTGCTATTTATATGGTTTGGAATTCTTTTAAATATTCAGTTTATGCCCGAACATAACCCTTATGATTATATAGAATTTTCTCTCGGTGATCTGCTTAAGATGAGATAAGTATTAATAAGACAAAGTAAAATATGAAACAATAGAGTAAAAAGTAACGTAAAAACATAAAATTCTCTTAATTGATTGTAAGAAATTGATAAATTAATGTAAGAATAATGGAGATGCATATAAATATGAAAAATCAAAAATATAAGGCAATGGGGA